TTTTTATGGCTTTGTGTTATTCTCCTTGTCAAAGTCTACTAAAGACAACCACTCCTGCCAGCTGGAGATGGATCCCTGGAAGGAGCTGCTGAATCCACCTTAGGAAGATTCCCAGATCCTCTCATCACTTCTGCATTCAGATGTAAACCTCAGAGCCCGCATCTCTTTGGCAAAACCATGGGATTTTCAGAACCCAAATGCATGGTTCAGGAAAGTTTCTTCTATTGAAAACCAACAATGATTAGGCAATGTCTAAAATCTCACCCTAAATGTGTCGATGGCTACAGTTAACACACAGTGACAAAGCAGAGATGAACGAAGCTCTTGGCTTATGGGGGTGTTAAAAACCAGACTGAAATCTCCCTGGCTGACTCCTTATGTGTAGAAATGTCAGCTTGAGGTGCTCAGAAATGATATTTCCAGCTTGATGTGGCACGGATATGAAGCATGAAGTCAGACAAAGCAGCCCCGTGCCCAAGTGATGAGGCTGGCTGATCCCACCGAATGCTTGTGCAGGCATGAAGCTTCCCCTGGAAAAAACCTGGAGTGAGATCATGAGGAATTCTCATCTCTCTGCCATGCCCAGGAGCCACGGGGAGCAGCAGAACATCCTGGAGGAGGGACCAGCACAGATCTGCTGCCGAGTGTTCCGTGTCAGCCCCACGCTGCTGCTGCCTCCTCCTCCCACCATCAGCTGCTCAGGCTCCAGCCTGATTAACAACAATTAAAATGTTCTTTATTTTCCCCGGAAAATCCCCCCCCACAACAGCACGCTGACTAATGGCACTTCACCCACAGCAGGGAAAATAATAGAATTATTATATGAATGAGAATTTCTGGAGGTTTGCACCTCCAGAGTCCTGCCTGGTGATGGTGTGAGGAACTCCTGGATGACCCAGGATGGTGGGGCTGAGGCAGACTGTGTGTCTGTCCTAAAAGAGGGGTGATGCTGGAACCCCAAGAGAGGCAGAAACAGCAAAATCAGCCAAAAATCCCTTTGCTATTGTTTGCTGGGGGGTGATGCTGGAACCCCACGAGAGGCAGAAACAGCAAAATCAGCCAAAAATCCCTTCGCTATTGTTTGCTGTTGTTTTCTGGCACACTGCATTTTTATTACCTTTGGAATAAACTGGAATAAACTCTGGAATGTTCCTTGCCTCTAATAAAAATGTCTGAACCTTGGGAAGGCAGTAAAAGCAAGCAGGCAATGGAGTCACAGGCTCTGGGTGTACTGTGGTGCATTTGCTAAGCACAATATGTTCCTTGGTCCTTCTTGTTTGGTTTCATCCCTCTGATGAAAACTTTTATTGCTTTTTGATTAAAAACTAACTCAAATCACAGGCTGGTCGAGGACTGAAACAAGGGAGATTCCCAGTCCAAGCTGTAAAAGATGAGGTGGAACTAAAAGGCAAAGATGGGTTTTTTTCCCAGAGGATCTAAGAGTCACATGGTGGAGGTTTCTTGCACTGTAAATTCTTGGAGTAAAGACTATTTTTTTGAAAGAATAAAGAGCTTTTCTCAGAATACTTTGACTCTGGGAGCTGATATTTTAAAGTACCAAATAACTGCCAAAATAGCCAGACATTCAGTAATTGTGGATCTCCTTGTGCTCCAGTTTCTATGAAATGCTCATCTAGACAATGAATTTTACCTTTTAACTTAGAAAACCCCAATGTTTCTGCCTCATTTTGCTCCCCCTTTCCCCTTCTCTTGTATCCCAGAGGGTTCTGGGATCTCAAATCCTCCGTTTTAGGCACAGCACAGATGACTCAAAGGACATCTGTAGGCTTGGGGAAGAGAACTCAGAGCACTGAGCCAACATGTCATCGTGAGATGAAGAATAATTTCAACAGCACATCCTGGAAAATGGTCCCATCAGTTCCCCGGGGCTGCCTCTAATGAATTCTAATTAGAAGCTGTCACTTCTTGTTATGGGAAAACAGGAATGCTTCAGCTCTCCCACCCCTTAACCTTGGAGACACCGAGGTGAGATCTGTCCCCAGGAATTTTAGGGCATTTTTTGCTCTTGGAGGAAATGAATTGGGAATTTCTGTGTGGGAAAAGGCAGCCAGCTCCAGGAGTGCTGGTTCCTCTCATGCTCTCAATCCATGCACATCAAGGTGCTCGCTTGGAACACTTTCAAACATTTGTGCCTGTCATTTCTCATCCTCTGGACTCCTGCCTCAAACTGCTCCTCCCCTGCTCACCCGATTCCCTCCCACATTTGTGCACTGGATTCCCAGAGTGGGATTCCCTAAAAGGCAGATCCAGACCCCATAAATCCTTTTGGGTGAGTGTCCAGCGTGAAATGTGGCACATTTGTCTGTAGATTTATAAAACTGCAACCCCTAAACAATGCAGCCTCCTCCCAGCACATTCCTTCCATCCATCCATCCTTCCATCCATCTTTTTCAGCCACTTGGTTTCTCGACAGAATTTACATAACCTGCCTGAAAACACTCCCACAGCTGATTAAATCCTGCTATGGAATCCAAAGCTCTGATGAAAAGGTTGGAGCTTCCCAGCACGGCACTGCTTGCACAGAGGGTCAATACTCACAGTTTGTTCTACAGGGGAGAAAGTGGCATTTTCTTTACAATTCCATACGCCCCGAGCTTTCCCATGGGAATTGCTTGCTCTGTTCAGATTATTATTTTAAAGCTGTCATCAGATGTGATCACCCACTGGATTAGAGGGAGCAAAAGGAGATGATCAGATAATCCCTGAGCCACAAAGCATTTTGAGTTGGGTTTGGAGGGAGCTGTCACCTATGGTCAATTTGTTTAGCTCAGGGGATTCTCCTCCTCTGTGTCTTCCTAAAAATACTCGTGCAGACCTTGAGAGATGTGGGACGTTGTGGGGATTTGTATGAGGAAGAATCCTCTGAATCATTTAAATATGAAGCAAAGCCTTTGGCTCTCACTGGCTTTAGATCTGGTGCAGAAACCTGGAGTTAAATATAAACCTGAGTTTATTGCAGGAGTAAAGCTATTTGTTACAAAAGTAAAGCGCCTGCTCACAGACATTCTGTCAGTCAAATCTTTCTCAGATAAACATTCCCTAATCCAGATTTTAACCTTTTCCAGACTCCTCTCTGTCACAAACCTCAAACACTCCCAGTGTTTCTCAGGCAGGAATCAGCACATGAGGAAGTAATTAATGCATGCAGGAGAGGGGGGGAAAAAAATTTTAAAAATAATAAAAAAAAAAAAAAAGTGCTGAATAGAGGCAAAATTGAGACTGAAACCCCTCATCCCACGGGCTGCCTGCTCAGTCCTCAGGATGCAGACAGGACATTCCAGCTCCTGAGAAACAGCCTGAAGAGATGCTGGAGCATTCAGCAACCCCCAGGCCTGGGCATTTGTGTAAAGACACAGTTGGGCAGTAAATCTGTCTGGACCAGTGGAGTGTCTAGGACTGAAAATCTGGGAGTAGGAACGAGGTTATTTTTCCCTGGTCCTACACACACTCAATCCATGGCAGACAAATGCTGCCATGGAACATCCCATCAGTGCCGCTCTGCTTTTCAGAACGAGCTGCACTAATCAGTTCATTCATTAAGGAAAGCCTATAATGTTTAGTGGAAGCTGTATCAGAGCCAAATCACCCCATTTCCAGCAGGCTGAGCCTCACCCAAGGTCTGGCAGAACAAAGCCACCAAATCCACTTTAAATGCTTGGAGGGGGAAAAAAAAAAAATCCAACCATAAAGAAGTTCGTTTGGATAAATCCTAACCTTACAGGAACACCGTGCCTCAGTTTCCCTGATGACAAATGGGGGTGACACAAGTGCCACTCAACCAATTCTCAGCAGTGCTGTGAGGCTCGTTGGATTAACATTTATGAAACCACCACGCGTGACTCTTAGAGGGGAATTGCTGCTGAAGAACTGTTGTGATTGTTGCTGATTCCCCAGGTGCCTGAAAGAGGGAACTCGGCAGAATTCCAGAAGAAATATCCTTGTGAGCTCACATAAAAGATGAGCTAACCTGGCAGTCCGAGAAGATTCATTGCAGGTCTTAGATCTGAGCCCAGAACCCAGGCAAGGCTCCGGGAGCTTTGTCTGTCCCACGAGGTGCAAAATTATGGAATGGTTTGGGTTGGAAGGGACCTTTAAAGGTCACCGTGTGCATCACACACCTGGGTAAAACCAGAAGTGAGGAGCCCACATGGAGGGCACGTCCAGGGCACCTTGGAACCCCCAATCCCTGGAAGTGTCCAGGGCTGGGTTGGACTGGACTTGGAGCAGCCGGGGGTAGTGGAAGGGATGAGCTTTAAGTTCCCTTCCAACGCAAACCACTGGGGAAAAGCCAAACTCCCACCTTTCCCCTCGTGCCTTTATCAGCTCCTATTTTCCCGAGGAGAAAGCACAGCTTTTTAGGAGCTTTTAAAGAACCCGTGCGAGGATGCTCTCCCGGCCCATCCATTCCCGTGTGCCTCATCCATCTCCCGTTAGCAACAGGTGCCGGAGCAGGGAAGGGAACGCACGGACGAGGGGCTCCGGGGGATGCCTGACCGGCGGGGCAGGGCTCGGGACTCGGCTGTCCCCTCGGCTGTCCCCTCGGCTGTCCCCTCGGTTGTCCCCTCGGTTGTCCCCTCGGTTGTCCCCTCGGCTGTCCCCTCGGTTGTCCCCTCTGTCTCCCCCGGTCCCCGCAGCCCCTCCCGCCGCCGCGGGCGGACTCTCCGCCGCCGCAGCCCGGATGCCGCCGCGTTCCTGGCCGCTCTCCCGGCCCCGGTGCCGCCGCTTCCTCCAGGATCTGCCGGCGGGGGAAGCCGCGGGGAGGGGGCCCACGGGCTTCTCCTCCTCTCGCCGGGTTATTTTTTCCGGTGCTTGCTCCAGCGGGGGAGGTGGGAAGAGCCAAAGGCGGCGGTACCCCCTTCCCGCCCCCCCCATCTCCGCCGCAGCACATGGGAAGCAAAAGTTTTCCTCCTCCTCCTCCTCCTCCTCCTCCTCCTCGTCCTCCTCCTCCTGCTGCTGCTGCTGCTGCTGCTGCTCGCTGCCCTCCTCCCGCTGCCCTCGGCCCGGAGCTCCCGCTGGCCGCCCCCCGAGGATGCTCGGGCTCCGCTCGGCCCCCGATGTCCCGGCGGCCGGCGAGCAGTAGAGCCCGGCGGGAGCCCCGGAGGGAGCGGAGCCGAGCCTGGCCCCGCACCTTCCGCGGGGATCCGCGCCTTGGCGGGGGAGAGCGGCTGCTGGGCGGAAAGAACCCGATGCTCTAGCAGCGCTGCATCGCCGAGCCGAGCCCCGCCATGGGCAGCGGGATGTGCTCCAGGAGGCAGAAGGGGCTGCTGCAGACCGCCTTCTGCCTGCTCACCCTGGCCTGCCTGGCCTCCGGAGTTTTCCTCTACAACCACTTGCAGCAGAAGGTGCGGAGCGCCGAGGCGCTGGCGCAGAAATACAAACAGCAGCAGGAAGCGCTGTCAGCCCAGCTCCAAGGTGAGTGCCCGCTCCGAGGTGCCCCTGGCTGGGCACACCCTGCCCCGACCTCTCTCCCTCCCGGCCCTGCTCATCTCTTGGCTTTGAAGATGCTGATTCCTTTCCCGTTTCCTTTCGTGCTGTTTGGATGCCAGGAATTAGAGCAGCCTGGAGTCTGAGTTAGCAAAGGGGGGGTCGGAGCTGGATCGGCTGCGTCGCGTCTATTCCAATTCTTCTCCCTTTGGCCGCCAATCCAAACCCCGGTCACGCCAAATGCGAGGCAGTAAAAACGCAGGGCAGGCTCCGAGATGCTGCTGTGGGAGTGAGCAGAGAGGGAAGGGATCTGTCCCTGAAGTTTTGGCACAGTCCGCCGCTGCCCGCTGCCTCTGCAAGGAGATAAAACCCACCTCGCTCTCGAGAGGTTGGTCCGGACTAAAACAGCCCGGGACTAAAATAGTCCGGGACTTAGAAAGCCGTACCAGCATTTTGGGGCTGATGGATGCTGCAGATTTTTGGCTCCCTAAAACAACGACAAGAAGAGGAGGAGGAGGAGGAGGAGGAAGAATTGGCTTTTCTGATCCCGCTGACAAACCCACCTCGTTCTCGAGAGATTGATCCGGGATTTAAAAAGTCCTGCCAGCTTTTTGGGGCTGATGGATGCTGCAGATGTTTAGGTCCCTAAAAACAAGGGGAGGAAGAAGAGGAGGAGGAGGAGGAGGAGGAAGAGGAGCAGGAGGAGGAAGAACTGGCTTTTCTGATCCCGTTGCTCAGCGCTTGGCTCTCCTGGCAAGAGCTGCCGGAGAGCGGAAGGCAAACACAGCGTGTGGATTCCTCCTCCCCCTCTCTCCCCTCATTTGTCCTCCTTACATAAATGCCTCACTGTGGGAAAATGGGATTTTAGCCCTCGGGGAGCTGCCGGCAGGGAAGGCTGAGGAGGACACGCGGTTACTCCACCGCTGAACTTTTATCTCCTTTGTCCAGCCTATCATTCCAGCCTCGCTGGGTGTGCCAAGGCCACGTTTCCAGCAGCTGACACAGGATTTGGAGTCTCTGGAGGGCTTTGCTGAGCTCCCCGTGGAGGAGAGGTTTGGTGGGAATGCCCTCGGGGCAGGCAGCACTCGGGTGTGTGATGCTGGAGGACGGGCTGTCCCTGGAAATACCCACAGAATGAATCCATGTGGCCAAAAATCGTTCTGCTTAAGGTCAAGAGATTATTTAACCCATTCCCCCGCCCCCCCTTCCTAAAAAGTCAGTTTAGATCACAGTGTTTATAGGGAGCTCTTCCCCAGCTAAAATCAAATACAGGGAGTTCTGTCATGACCTTTGTGGACACATCCAGGAATATTCTTCCTACAGCCCGTGTTGCTGGGGCATTGTACAGATCTGTGGTTCAACATTTGAGTCTTTTAGGGTTAAATCTTCTCCCGGTGTCTCTGTGCTGCAAATGGAGCATCCCAGCAGGGCTGCTGGTGCCCAGGGCTGTGTGTTGTGTTTGCACAGTGTGGGGGGTGTGTGTTCCTCTCCAGGAAACAAAATCCAATCATCCTTGGGAATGGATCTCATTAATGTGTGTTCAGGGCTGTTATCTCATGGTTTGGTTCCATTTTGCCTACACCTACAGCTCAGTCCCGGCCACGATTCCCACCTGCAGCCCAGGTTTGGGATGTGCAGGGATCAGCAGGGCAGAAGTTAACCCACTTTCCTCCCTGGTGTGCCAGCATCTCTTGCTCCTCTTGCAGAGAGGGGCTGCTTCTCCCGAGGATGACAGCAGCAGCCTCAGGGAACCCCAATTTTGGGAACAACAGGCCAACAACTGAGCCAAGCTCATATTTTTTCCACCCAAACGTGTGAATTGCAGAGCTGCAGCCTGTTGCTGGAATTCCTAACCCCCTCTCAGTCCTCCCGTTCCTAAATACAGTTGTTGCCATGGCTACCCTTTTTTTTTATTTTGAGAAGACACTCGCTTGTCCAACAGTTTTAACAAAGGCAAGGCTTCTTTTTGGGTTTGGCTGCTGGGGGAAGCCTGGCAAGGGGCGGATGGGAGAGATGCTGGTGGGAGGCTGGCACATCTGGCTCTGGGGCTGTGGCTGCTCCCTGCAGTGCTCTGGGGACAGCCCTGGGGCTCTGGGCTCTGTCCCTGCACTTGTTGCATGACTTTAATTCCTTTTTGTGCTCTTCTGCACCTGGCCCTGCCCTATCAGCCAAGGGGTTTCATTGTTTTTTTCCTTTGGCAGCAGGTGAGGGTGTCCTGGCTGGATTCCAGCTGGATTTACACGCTGACCACCCTCCATTCTCTGCTCTAAAAGCAAATTGTTCAAGACTTCCTGGCTCCCTGGCCTCCGAACTGTGCCGTGCCGGTTTGGTCAGACGAGCTGCTGCTGTGTCTCAGCACAAAGATGAGGGAAGAATCATGGAATTTTGGATTGTCCTGAGCTGGGAGGGACCCACTGGGATTATTCCAGTCCATCTCCTGGCCCTGAACACCCCCAGGAGCTGAGACACTGCTGAATCCCTGCTCTGTGTGAAGATAAACCCACTTTGGGCTCTGGGAACCTGTAGGAAAGGCAGGAGAGATTAAAACTTCCTTTTCTAGCCATTGGAGGTTACTTCAGTTGATCTGACTTGTAAAAACAGGGTCGGGGAGAGCCAGATTTTGTGCTGTGAAATGCAGAACGAGCAGCCTGTGCTCGGGAGCTGTCGCTGAAGCCTCCCCAGCTCTGGGATGGCCTCGTGAGGATCTGTGGCTGTGGGTGTTAACACAGCCCATCGCTGCTGGGAATGTCCCATCCCATCAAAGCCCGGCCCTCAGGAGCTCATCTGCAAGAAATTCGGATGTGAGGGAGTCAGAAAGTGAGTGCCCAGGGCTCCCAAATCCTCTGGGGAGTGGCTGATGTTCTCAAGCTGACAATTCCCTTGGACAAGGCTTTCTGGAAGCACCCAGGGCCCTTTGTGTGCTCAGGGTGCCATCGGAGCAGTCTGTTGGGGAAAGTGCTCCTGAAAATAAAGCTGGCACACTCGAGGAGACCCTTGGGCAGCTGCAGAGCTGGGTTTGCTGCTTGGCAGGGGGAAACATCCCTCCAAGACTGGAACCACTGCTGGAATGGTGTGGAGAATTGGGTTCAGAGGAAGGTCTGGGTGGAGTGGTTTGAGCATCTTCATCACTGGGATGTCTGCGTGTTGACAAAGACGAGGAAGGAGACAGCCTGGCTCACCTGTGGCCTCCTGCTGCTCCTTGAGGGGGGTGAGAAGGGACAGAGGAATTTTTTGCTCCAGCATGACCTGAGTGGAGCTGGCAGGGTGCACAAATCCCCTTGGAGTGAGAGCAGGAGCCCCCTGGGGCTCTTGGCGTGGCAGATCTCAGCAGGGAACGGATCAGCACTGGCTTCATTTTCATTTTCCTGCAGACCACGAGTTATGGCACCACTGGCCCCCAAAATTCTCGGCGGGAATCTTGGTTCTGGGAGTTTCATTTCACCACCCCTCCCCTCTGAGTGCTGCCCGGTGCCATCCTGGAGGATGAGGGCATGAGGAGCCCGTTGGAGCTGAGTGTGGTGGCATTGTCACATTGTCGGAGTGCAGGACACCCCTCTGGCTGCCCTGGCTGCCTCCAGACCCTGGCAGGGGCTCAGAGACCCTGGAATGGAGTCCAAAACTCTGAGGTTTTGGTTTTAGCCCATGGAAAATGCTGCCAACTCTGTATGAGGAATTACAAACCACAAGGGTTTGAGCAGTGTGGTAGTTGGAGTAACACAGGGTTAAAAAGTAGAATTTTGGGGGTTTTAGAATGGGGTTCAAGGGGACAAATTGGAGGGATTTGGGTGTGTCCTGACCTTCTTCTTCTTATTATTGTCCTCCGTGTCTTGGTGTGCTGGTGTCACTTTTTTATTGGTTTAAGGTAGAGACACACTGTCCAAAATAAATGATAAATATTGGCACGTTATTGTAAATATAGCACAGGTAGTTTTTGGTATAAAATATAAACACCGCCCTGAGGGCAGACAGAACCCATGGCCGAGCTGCTGGACAGAGCTCAGCAGGTCAGAGAAAGAATGTTTTAGATAAGGGAAAATAAACAGCCTTGAGAAGCTGATCCTGAACACTCAGACTCCTTCTCTGGCTGCAGGGCTGGGAAAAAAAGGATTTTTACACCCTTGGGGTCATCCCAACACCCAGACCCCGAGACCACATCAGAGTGGATCCATCACCATCCTCCACCTGCCACTGACTTTTTGGTCATTTCCATTCTCAGTTTTTGTGCAGAGGGCCGCTTGCTTCAGGTTTTCTCAGTGGGCTGTGGAAGGGAAAAACAAAAATCTGTCCTGCACTGAGGGCCAGTCAATGGCTGGGTTGTGGAAAAGGAAAAATAAATCTCTCCTGCATGGTGCTGGGGCCTTGCCAGAGCAGGTGACTCTGAGTCCACAAAAAACACAAATTAAACATCCCTTGGGCATCACATCAAAGCAAAACCTGAGTGCAAATATTGCAAATTGTGGGTGAGACTGGTGTGTTGTACTGCTCTGCAGCCCAAATTCCCCTCTCTTTATTCCTTTCTGTGGATAAGATGCTGGAGAAGGGGAATCACTTTCAGGCTGCTTCTCTGTGGGTGAATGGCAGGCTGTGACAGAAAAATATCTGATTTTTTTTAATGGTGAGAAAGAGATTTGGATTTTTTTTTTTTTATGATGGGGAAAATATCTGAATTTTTTTAATGGTGGGAAAAATATCTAAAATTTTTTTAATGGTGAAAAAAAATCTGATTTTTTTTAATGGCGGGGAAAAGATGTGGTTTTTTTAATGGTGGTAAAAATAACTGAATTATTTTTAACGGTGGGGAAAATATCTGAAATTTTTTTAATAGTAAGGAAAAATATCTGATTTTTTTCTAACGGTAGGAAAAAAGTCTATTTTTTTTTTTTTTTTTAATGGTGGGAAAAATATCTATGGGGAAAAGATATGTGGGGATAAATTGGAGTTTGTCATGCTCTGCCTCTCTCTGCCCCCACAGTGGTGTACGAGCACCGGTCCAGGCTGGAGAGATCCCTGCAGAAGGAGAGGGGGGAGCACAAGAAGACCAAGGAAGGTGAGTCCCAGCAGTGGCCAGGCAAAGCCCCAGATGTCCCCAAAGCCCCAGCTGTCCCCAAAGCCCCAGCTGTCCCCAAAGCCCCAGCTGTCCCCAGAGTCTCTCCTGACCCAGTGTGGCTGTCTGGTTGTCCCTGGGTGGAATTTGGGAGCAGTGGAGTGACGAGCCCGTGGGCAGAGGGTGCTGGCAGGTGGGCTCTGCTCCTCTCTCCTGTTGCCCTGATTTTTAAAGGTGTTAAGTTTTCTTTTATAGTTCTTTTGAAAGTTTTCAAGTTCTTTTAAAGGTTTTCTATGCCTTCTGGTGTTTATCTATTTCTCCTGCAGTTCTCACACTGTTCATGTAAACAATGATTGTTTTACATTCTTTGTGGGAGGAGAGAATTGATGAGCTGTTGGTTTGACCAGTGTGGTTGGAGAGGTGGGAACGTCATCCTCCAATCCACTGTCACTTTTAGATTTCTATATATTGCGAGATCAGAAATAAAATTAGTTTTTTATTCTCTTTTGAACTTACCAGACTTCTGTGTACTCATGGGTTTGGGTCTCACAGCACCTTTTCCAAACTCACCCCTTCTCAGGGTCTGGGTGTAAAAATCCATTTTTTCCCAGCCCTGCAGCCAGAGAAGGAGTCTGAATGTGCAGGATCAGCTTCTCAAGGCTATTTCCCCTTATCTAGAACATTCTCTCTCTGCCCTGCTGAGCTCTGTCCAGCAGCTCGGCCATGGCTTCTGTCTGCCCTCAGGGGGTGTTTGCATTTTATATTAAAAACTATGTGTACAATGTGCCAATATCTATAATTTATGTTGGACAGTGTGTCTCTACCTTAAACCAACAGAAAAGTGTCACCAGCACACCAAGACACGGAGGGCAAGGAGAAGGAGAAGAGGGTCAGGATACGCCCAAATCCCTCCATTTTGTCCCCTTGAACCCCATTCTAAAAACCCCAAAATTCTATTTTCCACCCTGTGTCACTCCAACTACCACACTGCTCAAACCCTTGTGGTCTGTAATTCCTCACACAACGTTGGCAGCTTTTTCCACGGGCTAAAATAGAAGCCACGGGTGGTTTTGACTTGGTGCCAGGGGCCTGGAGCCAGCCAGAGGGATGTGCTGGGTTCCCACAACATCTCAGCTCAGAGCACCCCAAAAAGTTCCTCGGCTCCCTCGGCATCGCGCTGCGGCTCTTTGTTTGTGACCTGGGAGATCAGCGCTGCTCTTGGCCGTGGGATGGGATGGGGAGTGCTGGAAAGGATTTTTGGGTGGCCAGCTCCCATGGAAAGCACTCCCACCTTCCCCAGGGCATGGGATTCTCTTCCAGCAGCATCTGCCCTCCAGCTTGCTCCCTGTGGGAACTCAAAATGTCCCTCAGACATTTTTAGAGGTTCCAGGCCTCGATCAGGAGCATTTTAGACCCCGGCAGGCAGCTGCAAACAGCTGTGATTTTGAGTTTGAGCCATGGAATGAGTTACCAACTTTGGAGGTAGAACAAGCAGTCACAAAGGGTTAAATGGGATAGTAAAAGTAGTTACAAAACAGAGGGGAAATTTTTTTAGTATTGTACAGGGGGGTTTTAACATTTGTACAGGGGGGCTTTTATTTTGTACGTGGGGGTCAGAAGTTCTAAGATGGAGGAAAGTGGGCTGACCCTGTTCTTCCTCCTTCTTCTTCCTTGCCTCCATGTTCTTGGTGATGTTGGCACTCACAGATTGGTTTAGAGTAGAAAAGCACTTTGTAATACAGGTAGTAGGTATTGCGGGAAACTATAAACATGTAATACGTAATATATCATATAAAATATGATATATTACGTATTGCAGCCCTGGGTGGGGAGGGAGAAGAAGAAGACACAGTCAGAGAGGATGTCAGGGTGTGTGTGTGCCTCTGCCTGAGCTGTGAGCAAACCACAGCAGCCCCAGAAGAAAATCTTTTAGATAATTCACAATAAATTGTCTTGAGACCGAACAGCAAGAGGCTGTGGAGTTTTTCTTTGGAATCACGGGTTGGAGGAGAAATTTCACCACCACACGGGACCCCAGAGCAAGGCTGGGGTTCCCACAGTTCCCTTGCTGCCTTTTGCTCAGCAAAAACTTCCAAAAGGGAACGATAAACCCGAACTTGGCGTGTGGTTCGAAGAGACGCGCGTCACATCGCGTAGCAGAAAACTCAGAGTTGAAGGTTTTAAACGATAATAATCTCTAAAAAGCAAGCTGGACGTTCGAAAGCAAAGCTGCTCCTTCTTCCTTCCCCTCCGAAACCCAAAAATTGGGAAATCCCACCTCACTGAGCTGCCTCCTTTTCTTCCCTCTCTAGATTTTTTAGTGTACAAGTTGGAAGCTCAGGAAGCTCTCAACAAGGAGAAGGTGGGTGTGCTTTGCCCCAGGCTCTCTGGGGAACAATGGAAATGTTATTTTCTGTGCCACCAGGGTTTATTCCTTTCCCGGAGCATCTGTGGAGGAGGTGCTGGAGAAAGGGAATCATTTCCAGGCCACTCCTCTGTGGGTGAATGCCAGTCTGGGACAGAAAAATATCTGTATTTTTTTTAATGGTGGGGAAAAATATCTGAATTTTTTTAAATGGTGGGGGAAATATCTGAATTTTTTTTTTTTTAATTATGGGGAAAATATCTGAATTTTTTAATGATGGTAAAAAATATCGGATGTTTTTTGAATGATGGGGAAAAAGATCGGAATTTTTTGAATGGTGAGGAAAATATCAGAATTTTTTTAACAGTGGGGAAAATATATTATTTTTTTAAATGATGGAAAAAATATCTGATTTTTTAAAATGATGGGAAAAATATATGATTTTTTTTAATGGTGGGGAAACTATTGGAATTTTTTTAACAGTGGGGAAAATATCAGAATTTTTGAGCTCAGCTTGGCTGCTGTGCCAGCTCACAGAGTTTGCCTGAGGCTCGCTCCATTTTCTGGTGTTTATTAAAATAAATGTTTATTAAAATTAACAATAAGTGTTATTATAATTAACATCTAATAAAATCAATAATAAATTATATTATAATTAATATCTATTAAAATTAATGTCTACCCAAATTATTTTTACTTTTAACTTAATAACTGGTTTCTTATGTTCCGCAATGTGATCTTTTTTGTATAATTACAAAAGACTACTTAAACTTATGAGGAAGAAGGTGAAGAATTGTAATTATATGGTAATATTATTCTTGGATAGTGTGCTCTGGAAAAATTCTTTTCTGGCTGGAACCCTGGTTACTGAGAATTTTAGACTTTCTGTGCTGCCAAGCACTGACCCCCAAGAGAACACTGCATTTGACCCAAAGCTGTAGAGAAAACTTCCAAAATTGAAGGATAAAACTGAGATTATGAGTGTGCAGTTTGCGTAAAAATGTGTAAAATCACCTAGTAGAAAACTTAGAGTTTAAGGTTTTAAAATATATTAATATATAAAGACGTTTTAAAGCAGAAGCTGCTCCTTCTTCTTCACCTCTCCATGGGTTTGGGTGGTTTTGTGTCACTGGATTTAAAAGTTTACATTGCAGAGCACAAGTAGTTAGTTATTGAGTCAAAAATAAAAATCATTTAGGTGTCATTTCTTAATTGGACAGTTTATGCTTAAAAAGCCTTATAGAAAGAGAGACACGGCTCCATTTTTAGTTGGTTGAAGTGCTGCAGAACTCACAGTTTATAAAACTGTAATATAGATAAAAA